TCATAACCTCAGCAAACCCTTATCTCTTATTTATTTGACAGCCGTTAAATATTAAAATATTTCAAAACTTCAAAAAGTGTAAATTTGTACATTGATAATGAAACCATAAATTAACATACTTAATTATATGAAAGGGTCTACACATTTAATTTTTTATGTTTATTTTTTTTATTTGTTTGTTAATGCTGTTAATGGAAAACTATTTTTTTTAAAGTGTGATATTACAGGGAATTGAGGGAAGGCACTTTTACAATGAATCATTTTTATTAGTTTTTACATATTCAAATTATAAAAATTATAGGCACATGTAAATAGTGCAAATTTATTTATAAATGCAATGAACATTTATAAAAAAATAATTGGAAATGTAAGAGATATTTGGAAATGTTTTTAAATGTCCCAGATAATTTCATCTACTGTACTCCTGTAGCTAACTGAATGACAACTGATTTTGTAATCTCACAGTCACAGGGCAGAAATTTAACCTAATTTTATTCACATAGAAAGGCTCAAAGTTTTGGGATAGGGTTGGGGTTATAACTGTGACATTCTAGAAAACATTTTACTCAATTCACTACTAATTATAATGTTGTGCACATTGTGTTTAGGTGAAAAGTTGCTCGGAACACATATTACCCTCAGTTACTTTCTATGTGAGTATCATCCTAAGACATTTACCCTGGGTTTGAACATTCTAGAGTTGCAGAATATTATTCTATTATTCAAAAACTGCATTTTGCATCATTTTTAGAAAAAGTGTTAAGTTTTGAAACTGCCACCATTTATAATCGAGGTCAGTTTCAATACATCTCTTGTGTCCTGAAGCCAAATATATATACAGTAATCTTTCTACATCCTCATTTCTTTGACTGCCCATTTCTATATTTTATTGTTGCATCATATATCTAGTAACTAGGACACATTCATTATATTTATTGGTATTTACAAAAATGGCTGTTTTTTAATGTTTAATTTATTCAACTCAATGCCTATATTATATTGTATGTTATTTGTCCCTTTTAATTAGCATAGTTATTACTTACAGACATACAAAGTTAATTGCATTTATAACATATTGTTGATGTGAATATATAACTTATACCAGTACCAAACATCTATCTGATTAGTTACAATAACCGGTGTGTTTACTGTTAAATATCACAATGCTTTTCACAAAATTTTTTTTAATAGGTTTGGGTAGTCATAAATCTTTGCATCCAGTTGGTTTTTTCTATCTTGAATGATTGTTCTATTTATTTGTATTAAAGTTGGCCTATTTATTTTTTATGCATCTTATTTAGTTTGTTTTCTTTGTCCTATTATACACACCAGATTATAACCTTTTGGGGAAGGAAAGGTAAAAACCACTCCACTAATTTCAGACATCATAGAAGTTACCAGTCAGTTGGCAATGATGCAAGAATTAATCAGGGAGGGACATGTATGTGATGACTGAGATACATATAGGCCTATAATTTAATCCCTTAAACGAGTAGAGTGATCACTACCACTGTATCCAGTTGAAATTTATAGTTATTCAGTTAATTTGCTTCCCTGTGATTATTGTGTCATTTATTATATCAAACTTACTTTCTCCAACATGCTCAATTTATGGATTTCAATAATTTTTATTATATTCAAAGATTTAACTGTTTTCCTCTTCCAAATTTAGATCTATAAAAATAAAATGAGGCCATCAAAATAAATTACCATTACCCTTGTTAATTTTAACCAGCAGATGCCATTCTTTTAGCTTGAAAATATCACTTTGAAAGGCAGAGATGAGCCTATAAAAAACTTACAAGTAGCAAAGGATAGCAATAATGAAATATGATTATACATTTTTAAAAACTTATATTACCAAAACAAATATTTATAAAATTGTTCGCCCTCATTTACATAAAGGGTTTCATGTTACCTTGCTGGGGACCTGTGATTATATTGTTTATTCAGATATGTATTCTCTATTTCTCTTGTAACCACATTTGTGTTGAAATGTTTATAAAATATGACATGTGTTGTGAGGAAATCCAATAAAATCCTAGTCAAAGAAATTCTTTGAAATACTTAGGCAACCTTATATTACATGACACTTTATGACCTCATTGTTGTGAGGACTTGGGGATGATTTTTTTCTGCTTCATAAATACACCCTGAGATGTTGATAACCCAGACATAAAACAATCTAGATTGCCTAAGGATAAAAAAGTTTTCTGCAGAGCCAGAATCCCGTGATTAAAGTGAACATTAAGACTTTTTCATAAGTAATAATTATATGTACAGTACTTTAACTTTAAGTGATACAGTGCTGTAGATATATTTGGCAGGTTTAGAATTACGTAGTTTTTTTCTTAATTTCTTGTTTTCCAGTGAAATAGTGTGAGTGTGGTTCATAACTTAAATATTGCAAGCTAAACTGATATTTCTATGTTTAATTTACTGAAATAAAGATACAGTATATACAATGGGAATAGAATATCTGGATAAGTCAATGAGTACAGGGTCAAACCAAAATTATTCTGGGTTATCAACCTCTTACTGAAGTTGCTCACACTTTTAAAAAGCAATGTAAGAAAAAAAAAACTCCTTTAGATCAGGGGTGGCACTATCTTGATATTTATTTACCGGATTTGTTTATCTCAATTGGTTGTTTTTCAAATTCTGAATGTTTAAAAAAATATGACTGAATTTTTAAATAGCTCTAGTCTACATTTAATTGCAAATATTTGACAGCTGTTAGTTCACAATTGTGTCGTTACATATCTTGCTATGAAATTACTGTACAATGTATCGTTATGAAGCTACTATTTTACAGATGTGCGAAAATTGTTGAAAACATTTACCTCTTGTTTCCAGCTGTGCACGTGTGAATTTCATCTACCAACCCATAATCATTATGAATAGTCTTTAGATTTATGGTAAACATATCTTAGATCAAGCTGTAGACAACAGTGATCCATACATACCATAAACAAAAAATAAACATTTCATAACTTAACTGAGCCTTTTTTGTTTTGGTATTGAGTTTCTGTAAAAATTAAATAATTTGTTATTTTTAAGCCGACGTATGGGAGAGGTGGTTTGACTATGAACTCTTGTAACGAATGTCACCTTTCACTAAATTTTCTTGTGATTTGAACTTTAATTTATCACAACTTGTCTGTGTTTCATGATATTTCCAATCATTGAACATAATCTAATCCATTGATGTCTGGAACTTGAAGGTAGTGATCAATAAAAGCGCGGAGCACTTGCAATTTTGTTGAGCAGAAGAAGAAAAAAATTAAGTCGATCAACTTTTACCCCCATTGTTCAAAACTCAAAATTTGAAGTAGAGACTAAAAAAAACCAAAACAACACAACTAAGTGTTTTAAAAACTAATTTTAATGTCAAGACATTTCAAACATCACAATGAGTTATTGATTTATACATTGCAAATTTAATGTGTGTGAGAGAGTTCATCTTTTGGTCTGGATTCATGTTACCTGATAACTAATATTAAGGATCGCAGTCTCCTGGGTAGAGGAAAGGCCATTGATGATTAAAACAACAAAACAAAATAAATACGAAGCTTAAAAATGGCCCTCCCCATGCAGTTGTAACTTATTACCCTTGCATGTTAACACTTGGAGATGCCCTTCATTTCTGTCATATATAAAAGCAGTATGCACACCAAGTATGTGACATGTTGCTCAAGTCTTAAGGATGGTTTGCTTCTTAGAGTAGAGCATGGTAAATTCCTTAAGTTCTTATAATGTTGAAAAATGAAGTCCCGTTTCTATACTAAGAGCACTAAAATAAAGTCTTGCCCCATCTCTCCCATACTGCAGCTCCATTTGTTAAAATAATTAGTGAATATCCTGTATATCATTCGTAGCTACATTCACACATGTTTACTACTACCCAACACATATCTCGACCAAGAAATTCCATATGCTGGCATTCTTCCATTTACTAACTTAACAAAAAAACAAAAAGAGAGTGAGAGAGAAATAATTGATGATTGAAAGAAAAAAAAAATTAAAAAAAAAAAGAACAACTTTTTAACAAATAGATCACAGAGCTCTTTTACTTGGTAACTTGGTATAGTTTTTACACAAGATAAATCTACTGCCATTCATCGCAGAGCTCTTTACTTGGTAACTTGGTATAGTTTTTACACAAGATAAATCTACTGCCATTCATCGCAGAGCTCTTTACTTGGTAACTTGGTATAGTTTTTACACAAGATAAATCTACTGCCATTCATCGCAGAGCTCTTTACTTGGTAACTTGGTATAGTTTTTACACAAGATAAATTTACTGCCATTCATCGCAGAGCTCTTTACTTGGTAACTTGGTATAGTTTTTACACAAGATAAATCTACTGCCATTCATCGCAGAGCTCTTTACTTGGTAACTTGGTATAGTTTTTACACAAGATAAATTTACTGCCATTCATCGAAGAGCTCTTTACTTTGTAACTTGGTACAGTTTTTACACAAGATAAATCTACTGCCATACATCACAGAGCTCTTTACTTGGTATATTTTTTTTACACAAGATATCTACTGCCATCAGTTTCTCTCAGTCAACATTCAATCAAGTCTTCATTGCAAACAGCCAAGACAGCAGCAGTACTGAAACTGTTGTGACGAGCCTGTCTATTTCTTGCCAGGGTTCTCCTGTTGGGATTCAAAGTTAAATGGACACTGCTCTAATCAAGGTTTTAAGCAGGGCAGATGAGAGCAGGTTCTATGCTGGGGCAGCACTAGGGCAAAATTTTGTAAATACAACCCCCCGCCCCCCCTCCCCATTCGGCTACGATTCCACTGAGGTATTCTTTGTTATCAACTTATAAAAGTTTGAAACCAAATGATGTTTGCTATAAAACATGAATATTACACAGGATCTATTATTACTTGCTGTGAGGCCCACTCATCCCAGCTGCTATCTAACTTGACACCCCCCTTCCCACACTTCCCTCCTAGATTATACCTAGTTGTCACCCCCCCTCCCCCCCAACACTCATCACAACAGCTGCTCTCTGTTGAAAATATTAAATGAAGAAGTCAGGCACAAGTTGGGCTCCAGGTAGTGGTTAAATGTGGCTCTACAAGAATTGAATTCCTATACCAAACTGTAGACCGGAATTGGCCCTGGAATACAAATATAGATCAAATAATCATTTCACCTCAGTCAAAAGGTTTGGATAGCTTTACTCTGGAGAAAAAAAGTTAGCTACATTGGAAATTTAGAAATTCAGCTAAAATGCAAGCTCATCAATGAGTGGAGTTAATCTACAGGAAATTTCTTTACCTGTTTAAGCTATAAATAAAAGTACATGACATTAGCTTGGCTTCAATTCAGCAGAGGTATATAAACATTTGATAACTGCAGGATCTTGTGTCATAAATGCTCTCTATGACTTACTTATCTCCCTTTTGTATCCTCATTGGTACAACATAGTTGAGTTCCAGACGGGCATTTCTTCCCATGCACAGAACAATGCCTGCACCGTAAGACCACCGCAGGGTGGTGGCCAGGTATTGAAAAGATTTGGATAAATTACCTGAAAAATAAAAGGATAATATATATTTTGTAAAAATAATTAGTTAATAATAGGCTTAAACTTGGGGTCAGTGGTAGCGATAATAATTTTCCCCAGAAACAGTGTTAAATAAGGAATTATTAGTTGTTAAAAAAAAAACCAAAAAAAAACGCACTACACAAAGAGAACAAATTTTAAAACTCACTTTCAGTAAAAATATAGGTGTGAGTACAGGCTTCAACATGCATAGAAACAATACATATTATTTTAAAGAGATTAGTCTAATGTTCTGATTACATTTCTTTCTGTGTGTGTATACTTTGATTGTAAAAATACATTGATCAATAAAAATTAGAATAAAAAATATTCACAAAATGGAAAAGCACTGTTGAAAATTTACAATCCACTAAACCAGTGATTCCCAAAGTGTCCGTCACGGCACCCTGGGGATCTGTGGCTTACTCACTGGGTCGCCGGGAAATATTTCAAGACAGTAATAATTTCTATTTCCAAATTCAGGACATTTGGTGCAAAACAGTAACTTACCCAGTAATAACTGTTTGCAGAGGCATCTACAGACGATTACTATATTCTGCTTTCTGATCACAAAAACCATTTCTTGTTTTATTAATATATTTTTTTACCTAATCCTTACACTAATTTTTTTTTAAAAATTGCTATTTCTCAGAGTAATTGCTTGAATTGAGGTGCTGTTTGAAAAACTGAATTTATCATGGATTCCAAGAAATTAAAAAGTTTGGTAACATCTTAACTAAACTAGTTTGGGAACCACTGAACTCAACCACCAGACAAGGCTAATCACAAGTTAAAGCAGCCATGAGGAACTCACTGAAGTCCATGTTGCCCAGGTTGCCAGCATTGATGAAGAAATGGGTCTTGAAGAGATCGCCAAACCTGCCCTTGCCTGGCCTGAAGGGTAGGGGACTGTAGATGTGCGCAGCTGCCAGCCAGTAAGATTCAGCTCCCAGGGCATTGTCTGCAGCATCGGGGAATTTTTCATATTAATATTTTCATTTCACTTGAAAAGGAAGCCTGTCATCAAGTACTAACTAATAATAAGATTAACTCTTAAAAAAAAAAAACGTTGAAAATTTAAAAAGAAAATAGATACTTTGGCATTTGAAATAATTTGGTAAGAAATTAAAACAAAAGAAATAGGAAAACTGTGTTACTGGCTCACCATGACTGTGGGGGCCGCAGCCCCTCATGCTGAACCCTCTCAAAGTCAATGGACCCCCTAAGAAGAATTTGTCACTGATTGAAATGGATGCCCGGGGATCCAATGTTCTCATGATTCCTCCTGCCAGCGACAACTGGAATATCTGCAGAGTGGATTATAATGATTCTTTAAAAAAAAAATAATAATAATTTCTGCAGTTTATTGTCCTGCTTTAAAAAAAACCCCGTTTAAACTAAGGTTAACTGTTTAGAAGGTTGTGAGTTTTCATGAAGTCAAGTGCATAGCTTTTTACCCCCTTGTCAAAGTTTTACCAAATTCTGTGACCAAGTTTTGATTTTTAACACTAAAAGTGCTCTGAAAAAAAAGGTTGTGATATCATTTGCCACGTTTTTCATCTATAATCCATGGATTATCATACAAGGTTATAACAATTGTAAAACCAGAATATGTACTGAAACATTTTAAATTAATTATCTAAATTTAACATCATGTTAACTAAGAAAAATGAGTAGAAAATTATAACAAATTTGTAAAAATGCTCCACTGACTGTGTCCAATGGGAGGGATGTGTTCCACTGAAATGTTCCATCCTGTTTTGCATACTCCACATTACCACCAAGACCGGCATATTCCTGTCAACAGAATACACAGTTTTATAACAACACACACTTTGAACTTTTTTCCTTCTTTTAAGGACCTGTGGTTTACAAAGCAGGGTGTTTCCAGATTAACCAGTTCATGATACTTCATCAGCAAGGCTTGTGTAATAAGCCTGGATTGAAATTCTGATGAAATGGTTGGGACCCCATTATCTCTTATAAGATGCACTGTTTGAAATAATCTCTGGAAAATTTACATGATACCCAAAGTTAAAAGAAATATTATAACCTTAGTACTGCAATTGTTTTTCTGCACACAATTAATTTTTTTCAAGGTTTTGGTTTTCAACATGTTATGAACTCAATTTCCTTTAAAAGCCTTTTGAGTCGGAGCCTATGTTGACTGTCGGTGCCAAGAAGACGGAGCACTTTTTACAAGCTCAGCTCTCATATAGCAAAAAAAAAAAAAAAAAAAAATATTCTTGTAGGGATGTTTTCAAAATGTTATGAACTCAATTTCCTTTAAAAGCCTTTTGAGTCGGAGCCTAAGTTGACTGTCGGTGCCAAGAAGACGGAGCACTTTTTACAAGCTCAGCTCTCATATAGCAAAAAAAAAAAAAAATATTCTTGTAGGGAATTGAATGAACTAATATGATCTTTATGAATCAAACTGAAATCTCAAATTTATGCAAATGAGATATCCTGATTTGCATAAGTTATGCATGCAATTTTTATTTTAAAAAAAAACACTAAAAAATAGAATAAACATGTCTTACTTGAAGAATTAAAAATTGTATGATTGTTGAAATACTTTAAGTCCTAACCCATATTTGAATGAGATGCAGTGTAAAAAAAATATATAAAATATTCCCCTGGTGCTGCTCATGCCTTTTGACAAGCATTTTTAGTGGTCACTAGGTACAAAAAACAATTTGATAAAAAATGACAGAGAAGGGTAGTAAAATGTCAGTGGAAGACACTATTCAATTGATGAGATGAGCAAGAAATGAGAGATGCAATCTGATTAGCTGGTAAGGAAATCAGCCAGCCGCTCACAAGGCTTGAATTAACAGGCAGATGGATCGGTCACTTGTCTTTTTCGTATTTGACCCTGGCGTCGCCCCAAGAGGGTTAAAACAATTCTAATCCATGGCTAAAAGAGAACAAAAATTAAACTGTATTTATCAAAGATGAACATCAAAGATGAACATCAAAGATGTGTGAGATGAACTAAAAACTTACCTGACTAGTTTGCCAGAGAAAGCCAGTGGTTGGTAGAATGGGATCATCACGTTTGTCAATGGAGAACGTGTGCTGGAGGAAAAATAACATTTAGAAAATATATAAAGCCATTTTGGTCAGGCGTTTGAAGAAAATTTGTTTAATGGTGATTTAATCACAAAGCCTGCGACAGATGCATTTGAACTGCAATGCCAAAGAATTTTTTTGTCAACTTACATATCAACTGAAATACCAAACATGCATCGAAAATGAACTCTGAGCTCTATGTCGGTACACAGGTTCAGAAAGTATAATATATGATAAAGACCCGTCTGGTGTGACAAATATTGTGCAACTTTACTTTGAATACACCCTTACACTGACTCTTAGAGTTTACTCTTTAAAAAAAGTAAATATTTGTTTTTCAGCCTGCTGCCAAACAAAAACAACAATGTAAACAGGAATTTAAAAAAAATAAAAAATTTTGATAGGATGTAAAAAAAAAACAAAAAAAAACAAACACCCTAACTAATGAGTGAGAGCCGTTCCTCTTGAGCTAACAAAAGACATACGATTTTCATTGACAATTTTAATTAAGGTAACGGCCGTTTAAACTGAAACAGTCACGATGGCCCATCATCCGCTGTTTCAGGGTTACGACTGCACACAATGGAACACAGCAAGTTGGCGATCTTACTTTCAAACTTGACTTGAGAGAGTGGCCGGCCTGCTCGCGGACAGAGAAGGATGTTTCTCTTGACAACGGCTTCAAGTCTCGCCAGACCCCCTCCCACTGCAAGTTGTGAGATCCAAACAGAGTGGGAAACTGACAGGAAAGATCAACAAGAGTTAAAAACCTTTAAGCCAATGTCTGCCTGAAATCTAGACCATTAAGGCAGTGAAAAGTTCTACATTAACATTAAGATCTACATTCGCGACAGGATAATTATGACTAGTTATTCAACTATTATTAAATGTATATATTAAAGGCTATATCTATCATTATATCAAAAGCTATATCTATCATTATATCAAAGGCTATATCTATCATTATATCAAAAGCTATATCTATCATTATATCAAAGGCTATATCTATCATTATATCAGAAGCTATATCTATCATTATATCAAAGGCTATATCTATCATTATATAAAAGGCTATATCTATCATTATCTAGGCTATATCTATCATTATATCAAAGGCTATATCTATCATTTATAAAAAGGCTATATCTATCATTAAATCAAGGCTATATCTATCATTATATCAAAGGCTATATCTATCATTATATCAAAAGCTATATCTATCATTATATCAAAGGCTATATCTATCATTATATCAGAAGCTATATCTATCATTATATCAAAGGCTATATCTATCATTATATAAAAGGCTATATCTATCATTATATCAAAGGCTATATCTATCATTATATCAAAGGCTATATCTATCATTTTATCAAAAGCTATATCTATCATTATATCAAAGGCTATATCTATCATTATATCAAAGGCTATATCCACCGTTAGATCAAATGCTATTCCCCTGTCTGTCTGCTTGTAGCCACTCCATGGATACTCTCCGTGAAACTGGTAGGCAGTGCTTCCTATGCTGTGGAAATACTTGAATATTTAAAGATAAACAGAGACGTCAAGCATCTGGCAATAAGAAATAAAAAAAAAATTTTTAAATGATGAGGTGTAACCTAAACCGTGTCACTGATGCAGCATCGGCCGCAGTCAGGACATTCTTATAGTTATCGGGAACCTCCCCATTTACTCAAAGGGAAGTTGCCATTTTAAAATTTTACAGCAAACAAAGATTTACTGGTTAATAATCTATAACTAAAATTTTGTCACACTTCCTTAAAGACCAAAAATAAATCTGCCCTATGAAAGAAAGAAGTTACATCCTGTCCATACACCACTCAGGAAAATTAGCTTACAACATGTCAGGGTTATTGTTAAGAGGTTTCTTGAAGTAAGCGCTGTAGCCGTGGGTTTTCTTCGTCCCTACAGTGTAGTCTAATCTGAACTGCTCACCACGACCAACCATGTTTGGCATCTTTACTTGGAAGTCCTGAATATAAAGAGAGAAAAACTTAAGCAATAGCTTTTCATTTTGATTTCATTTAAATGCAAAGTTTCATTAAAATAATTTCATTTACGTTCTTTAAAAAAAAAAAAAAAAAAAAAAAAAAAAAAAAAAAAAAAAAAAAAAAAAAAAAAAAAAAAATTTTACTTGGAACTCCTGAATAAAAAGAAAGAAAAACTTAAACAATAGCTTTTCATTTTGATTTCATTTAAAAGCAAAGTTTCATTAAAATAATTTCATTTACGTTCTTTAAAAAAAAAAAAAAAAAAAATACGAATGTGCAAATAGAAACATAAAAAGGAATTTACAATGAGTCACAATTAATGTATTTCCCTTGAACAAGACGGACTGTATTTTGCCATTCTGACATCAAAAGACACTAAGAAATTCTAAACTTTACGTAGAATATAAATGTTTAAAAAAATTACTTAACATAAAATATAATTCATAAAACGTCAGCGACGTCAGGTCTCACGGTTGCATAAATATTATTTTACTCCACAGACAGATAAATATGTAGTTATTGTCATCTAACTGGAGAAAGACTTATGATACACTTATAAAAGACAATACAGATTTCTAACTGCTGTAAGATCCTGTAATTAAACATTTGAGTTTAAAAAAAAAAAGTGTGAACATTTCTGTGGATGCACACACCCACAGACACAAAATTTTATCTCATAAAGCCTATCTCTTTACCAGGCTTCCATCATTGTTACTTATTGATGTGTAGATACCACCATCCACCCGACGAAACTCCTGAACTTCAAACAAAACCTCATACCCATTTTCTCGTTTGTCTGTCGAAGGAAAGTAAAAAAAAAAAATAATCTTAATTGAAATCAAAGCAATAGTTTGCTAGCCTTTTTAATCTTATACCTTAAATTATTTACTTATCACTCTTTTAAATTTAAAAAATAATGACTTCCTTTTTAAAGGCCAGTTTGAAGGGCATTAAAAAGTGAGAAAATTAGTTCTTTTAAGGCATAGTAGAAAGAAAGACAACTTGACGGGTTTGTGAGTAGAAAGAAAGTCTTTAAAAAAAGCACAGCTCTTCAAAATTGTTTCTTACCTCACAGAAAACGTTGGCCTAATTTAAAAAATAATTTATCATTCTTTGGATAAGCCCTTCAGGCTACTAAAATATCTTACCTTTACTGACATCAATTGCTATAACAACATTTTTGAAAAGACCAAGACGCTCCATTTTGACTTTGGCCCCATAGCTGAGCTGAACAAGCTGCAAAGTGAAATATTTAATAGAGAGACATTAAATCAAATGCATGAGAAAAATAACAAATTTTTGTGTGTGGACACATTTTTTGTTATTTTCAACTCTCTTGAGATTGAGCATTTTTGGACTATAGGTGCCAAGAAGATGGAGGCCTTTTCACAAGACCAGCAAAAAAAATTGTATTAAAAAAATAAAGTTATCTCTTAGTAAGACCAGCCAGCCAATCTTGAGGCTTGTATTATGGGGCTGATATTTTTGGCCCTTTGACTTTTTCACCACTGACTCTTGGGCCGAATTTTAGATCAGCCCAGTCAATCTCAAGAGGCTTAAGATGCCCAGGAGAAATGGGAGCGCTTTAAGTAGAAGAGAAAATGTGAGATGGATCAGAGGATAGAGAATGATTTTGAGAACAAAATGATAAGCGAGGGGCTTCAAATAAGAAGTGAACTTCAAATGTATTTAAGTGTCAGAGACGTAATTTAAAGAATTCATCACATGAAAGTTTTAATAATCCATTGTTTAAGTTCTTAAAACGATAAATTTGAACTGATGTACTACACAAAGATTGCGTATAATGCTTTTAATTTCCAAACAATGTTGATGTTTTTTTTTAAGCGACTAAAACTCACCAGAAACAAATACATGTAATCATAATACTTATTTCAAATGATTTCAGTTGTTAAAGGATTACTTGATGAGCTTGATAGAACTACAGCTAAGTGTAAATGATACCACCAAATTTATGGAATGAGAGATTTAAAAAACAAACCTCATCAAAAGTCTTGGCACTGAGTAATGGTTTGATTTCCTTGATAATAATGTCATCTTTTGTTCGTGTTAGTCCGTCAACAACCACACGTTGAACTCTAACCTGAAAGTTGTAAAACACATCGGATAAAATTCTTAACATTAATCGCTAGCCGCTGGGATGAAGAGAAAATTTGCGCCTCAGTCAATTCTTTTTCTAATGTATCTGAGTTTTCTAAAAAAAAAATATAAAAAAATCAACTACACAGAATTATGCAAAAATTAAAATGTTGGCAAAATTCAAGGCTTTACATAATACTTATTTTTGATTTACTTACAGGCAACTTGTCAAAATTCACATAAACCTCTTCTTTTTTCTTATCTGCTGTGACAGTCTGGAAAAAAAACCCCATCTATTTTTAAAGAGAAACTTTGAACATGATTAAGAAAATATTAAGATTTCCTAAAGCTCTTTACATTCATTTAGTAGGTGAAATAATATTGCTTGCTATAAAAAAATATATTAATTAACAGAAAAGTAATATTCCTGGTTAATGTAAAGTGTTCTTATTGCCACATGTTGCTCACCGATGTTTTAACACCTTTTGGCTGGGGATCAGCAGGTGCCTAGAAAACATAATATGAATTATTGTTTAAATAACAAACTTGGAAAGAGAGTAGGTATGGAAATTTCCCCACTTCCCTGTGCAACACTCATATTTCTACAGCTAAATCCAATAAATGATGAAACACGCTTCAAATATTCTTATTTCCCCAAAAGCAGAAGTTTCATAATCATGTTAACTTATAACTGTCAACAGAACAAAATAACAACTTGATAGCACTGTACTCAGTTTGAACAAATTTGTACTGTATATGAACAAACAGTAGCTGAAGACTGAAAAGAATGTAATCTATAGATTTTCAAATTAGTAATACATTTATTATGATTTGCTCATTCAGCTTTTAACAAAAATAAAAATTAAAAAAAAAATTAATAAAAGTCTGATAAATTGAATCTGCACATGTTGGCTGCACTCATATAAGCATTGAAACGCAATGCACATACTGTTATTTGAAGATGGAGACTAAGTTAAGTCAGGGAAAAGGGACATTTTTTTAATTCTTCTTCTTATATTTGAGGTGCCCACGATCAATTTGTTGATCATTTCTTAAATAAATAAAAACCACACTTTTTAGTGAAGATGATAATTTGAGCCAAGATTTTGAGACATTACACTTAGTTAAGTTTTAGTGGATATTGTTTCACATTTAAAAAAAAACAAAACAATAAATGTCTTAATATTGACAAACCATGATAAATGACAGATACCCAAAATCTTTTGGTCTACCAAATGTGTTTGTTGGAAACCTTGTTTATTTATATTCTCATTAAAAAAAATTCAATATCATTATATATTTGTGGATTGAATTATGTAATAATAAAATTTATTACGGTCAAGATACAAACTCAACTGACTAACACTAAAATCTTTCATAGCTTCCTACATTGCTTAGAGAGAGATATAATAATGTTTTTTTTAATATAATTAATGAACACAAAATTATTTTCTCTTCTGAACTGTGATGAATGGCAGCCTGCATTGAAAAGCTTAGTAAAATAAACCCAATTTATCCCGGTTGCTTAGGTGAAGAAAAAAGTCCGAGGGCTATTATGTGATCCTTTGACAATGACTATGATGTTGAACTTAACAAGTCAGTAGTGTAGATCCACTCAAAATTACAAATGACTAACACAAATGCCCCAAAATACTAATTAGTAATTCATCAATGAAACTGGGCTAATGTTGGTTCAGCGTACCACTCTGAGTTTTGGTGTAGGATTCTCTCCCTTGTTTATTCTTGGATTGTTACTACAATTAACTTTTCTTTTTTTCAATATAATATGCCGATGGAATGTTGTAAATTAATATTTCATTGGATGGTTAATTGTAATTTTTAAATTTTCCTGCATTTTGGAAAGGGAGGCACTATAAACAGTCGGCTGGGAATAACGCTCAACATTATTGTCAGCAAAATGTCTCATCTGTGTAAAAGGCTCAGCCTTATTTCCAGTCGATAAATGGTTTACTAATGCTAGCACAGTGTTATACCAAACAGATAAATGGTTTACTACTGCAAGGAAATAAATGAAAAAATAATGGAGCGGAATCATGGGCTGTAATCTAATTTTTTTAAAATTTAACAATAACATTAACAATGTTATTCCCAGCCGATAAATGGTTTACTACTACTGATAGCATAATGTTATTTTCAGCCGAGTGTGAATAACCACTCCCTTTTGGAAAATGGATATTGTATTGACTTTTCTGACAACTTTTGGTATTTTATTTTTGGTGGAACCTGTAATAAAGTGTGTAAAAAGTAGATGCTATGAAACTGTAAGTTGGGTTTTTCTTGTTTAAATTTCTCTCTCTTTTTTTCCCTACATTTTGAAACTTTTCTTGCTACCGTGGGTAGCTGTAGCACACATGGTTTAGTTGAGGGAAGCATGCGACCACAGGTCGTTGACATTTCTTGTCGCAAATCTAGAGGGATACAATAAGTTGCTACATAGCCAAGAAATTAATCTACCCGCTGGAATTATACCACGAAAGGGGGTGACCACAGGTCATTGACACTTCTTGCCACATAACTAGAGGGACACAATTAAGTTGCTTTGTTTGCCATGAAATTAATGCACCAGCTGAAATTATTTCATTAAATTTTAATGTGTTGTACCTTTTTTTCGTTTCTGTAAGTGTAAGTGTAAGTAGCTAAAAACAGCACATTCTCTCTCTATGGGGCCATTCATAAATGATGTCAAACAAATTCTGCCGATTTTTTAAGACACCACCACCCCCCCTCTGCCCTAAAAAAAGTCCCTGTGTCTAATACTGTCCTTTTCAAAACCTTAAGGAATTACATCCCATGGATATCAAATTATTCCACCTGTGTCAGAAACACTATGACCCCCCTCCCACCCATCAACATTTTTTTGTGTGTTCCATCCCACTTCATGTGGTAGTCCTAAGTCTATGACTCATGTGTCCTCATTCAGCCATAAATTCTCAGGACTGTCATTGTAACTACATCCTGATTCTCCTCCTCCATGGTGGGTACTGATTCTCTCAGTGATCGAAGTTTAAAAGTAAAATAATTATAATGGTTGTATAAAATAATAATGTTAAAAATGTTGGTAATTTAAGGTCATTCTGTGCAATTCTTTACTACAATATTCCTCTTTTTATGTGAAGTCACATTGCTTAAGCCTTCCTATCCCAATCGTCAAATAAATCTGACCCCCCACCCCCACCCAGACCAGTAATGTCATTTATGGATGGCCTCTTTCCCCCTGCCCATTTTAGCAGTCAGACATGTGTTTGGACACCTTTTTTTTTTTTTTTTTTTTTTAGGTCATTCTGTGCAATTCTTTACTACAATATTCCTCTTTTTATGTGAAGTCACATTGCTTAAGCCTTCCTATCCCAATCGTCAAATAAATCTGACCCCCCCCCCCCCCCCACACCAGTAATGTCATTTATTGATGGTCTCTTTTCCCCTGCCCCCTTTTCGGGTCAGACATTGTTTTTTGCATCCTTTTTTTTTTTTTTTTTTTTACACAGCTACCATCTTGGCTTCCATAACACTCTTTCATCATGGCAACCAAGATGATGGCACTGGGAAATAAGTGGCGCTCCAAAAAGAAATTTAATAATTTACCCTGACTGACTGATATCATATTCATATTCATACTGATTAAAAGCAAAGTCAACACTAATACTAATATTTAATTAATAATACTAATATTAATATGTGCATTGCCAATGCTAGCTGTATTAGCAATATCAATAGGACCCTAAGGTTGGTATCAAATGTATTGTATGGGGCATCTGGATAATCAAGATTATTAGAGACTAGGCCTATTAATAAAATGAAATTTAAAAGAACATGAGAGATTATTTATGCCATGCTGAGCAAGTCATGATAAATAATAAATTTTATTAATATTAATAATCAGACCCAGATCGGGGAAAGACAATCAATTAACAATAATAGGCCTAAAGGTTTTAAACCCATAAATAATTAAATAATTAAAAGAATATTTCTAAGTACAGCAATGAAATATATTTTGAAATTTAATATATCACATTCATCCAATAATAACCATGTAAATAAATATAATTATTTGACATTGAATTTTTACCTTTGCATGAAGAGACCCCATGACCGAAATTTACGCCACCGGCTAGAAGAGTTTATCAAGGGAGTCTACTGTAGAATACACTTGTGTTTATATTTGAACACGTAAATAAAAAAGTTCATCTATATTAATAAATAAAACAAATATGTGAAATAGATATTTTTTTTAAAAATAGTCTAATACCTTTAGTAGACTGACTGGACTCAGAAGCTTAGTAATAAAGCCATACAAAAAGAATTGTACACTGAAAGGTGTTATTTTTTTCACACCACTCAAAATTACCTGATAATAGTTGTTTTAAAATATAAAATGTCAATACTAGCTGTAGTTGTAGCAGCAAGCACAAACATATCTTGTTACTAGCAAGTCTTAACAAATCTTACTCCAAGTTAGTATTTACTTACTTATTTTATACTTTCCCCCCTCAGTTCACAAACTACTTGCTGCACAAGTCCGAAATTTGGACGCAGTGGTGCGTGGACTTTCAAAAGTTTATTTTAGTGGCGCTGTGCTACGGTGTAAAATTACAAAAGTTTCAGAACCGCTGACGCCATATAATAATAATAAAATGCGCACCACACAACAGTGCACACACAAAAATTCTCTACTTTAAAAAAAAAGGCCAACACAAAAAAAAAAAAAAACACAATTTCTTAAATAGCATCATTTGCGCATTTGAATAAAACACACCATATGACCACATACAATGTTAACAAATTGTGTAAGTTATACACTACTCAAGAGAGAGCTTTTAAGCCGACTCCAAGTGAAGAACTGACTGATGTCCACGACACCTGATCTCACCCGCTCACTGTTAGTTACCTTTATGTGCTGGACGTGTCTTCTGCTCTATATTCTACCATAAGGTAACACACGAATCTTTTATCAACCCAAAAATTTTTTGAAACGGGAGGCTTGATTTCATGATCTTTTTCAGCATGAACGTAAACATCCTGATTAAGGCAAACAATAATTATAAAAGAAGAACAATTAATCATCTAAAATCTAAACGTAAGAAAATTGAAAAGTATTTCCCGAGAGCAAAAGCCAAAAATCTTATCTCCAAAAGCCTCACTTCGATAATGGGAAAGGGGGGGGGGGGGGAATCAGTAGCTGTTGATTAAAAAAAAAAAATTCAAGATATGAAGGAGATTTATGTTTTAAAGAAGTTTAGCAATAAAGTAAATAATCGATACTGTTAGACTCGTTGCTGATGAGTCGCCAAGTCCTGGGGGGGGGGGGGGGGAATCAGTAGCTGTTGATTAAAAAAAAATAATTCAAGATATGAAGGAGATTTATGTTTTAAAGAAGTTTAGCAATAAAGTAAATAATCGATACTGTTAGACTCGTTGCTGATGAGTCGCCAAGTCCGATTTATCAGTTACGATATTCGAATCAACTCGAACAGACATTTTTTTTGTTTCTTCCTTTCTTTCTTTGTATTCTTTGTATTATTTTTGTTTTAAATAAGAGAGAATGCCATTGCATGACGTCATAACTCTGAGTTAGAGTTCTTTTCAAAAAGTTTTAAAAAAAAATTGTGTTTGTTTTTCAATGGAAGTTATCGTGTATATCTTTATCATTCCGAATCTAGTCGGTTTATTTCTTTCAATGTTTGTCCTGTTAATTTTATGAAGATTTCTACTTCTTTACTCCAACGCCGGCCTTTAGGGTGTGCGACCTGTGCCCTTAGCACAGGGCACCGTGGCCATGGGGGGGGGCCTGGGGTGCAAAGTAAATATTTAAATTCCCTTAGTTTATTATAGTGAAGTGAGGAGAAACGGTAGTCTAACTTTTCGTCCAATCGTTTTTCACACAATGCCTTTTCATAACATGAGAGTTGCATTCTTAATTTGGATACTAACACTGGCGTTGGACAGGGAAGGGGGCGCCGCGACATTTATGTCACAATTTATATTATGTGTCAGTGGGCCACCGATAGGAATAAGAGAGCACGATCTTAGTGCAACTGCTATGGGTAACCCCAAGCACGCACACCCTCATGGACACTTTAAGTAACACACAGCTGTGCACTGGGCCTACAATTTTATTGGTAATAAAAGGGAGAGACAATTCTTTTGCTGCCCTCTTGGATACTACTTCTCAGCTAAGAGCTAGTTTAAAATTTCTGCATTTTCTGTTTGTTCGCCGACGAAGGCTTCCTGCCGACACGTTCATTGTTTTGTTGTGTTCCCCCTTTCAGGTTTTAATACTATTTTATCATTAAAAAAATAAAATAACACGGGGTGTGGGGTGGGGGGGGGGCAAGACGCTGAGCATGATGCCCTGACCTCTAACCTCACTATAATATGTAAAACACTGAGTAAACCAGCTAAAAATTGACAAAACATCCATTGCATACTGAATTAACTGTATTCTCGTTATGTCTCTTGTAGCTAAATTTTGTGACGTAGTGTGTTGGAGGACCGTTGG